AGAAGAGAAGAGAAGAGAAGAGAAGAGAAGAGAAGAGAAGAGAAGAGAAGAGAAGAGAAGTGAAGAGAAGAGAAGGGAAGAGAAGAGAAGAGAAGAGAAGAGAAGAGAAGAGAAGAGAAGAGAAGAGAAGAGAAGAGAAGAGAAGAGAAGAGAAGAGAAGAGAAGAGAAGAGAAGAGGAGAGAAGAGAAGAGAAGAGAAGAGAAGAGAAGAGAAGAGAAGAGAGAAAATATTATTTAGGACCCCGAGCAGGAAGATTAGTAAATAAAACTGTTAATTTTTAGATCAGTAAGTTTTTATGTTTTGTATTTGACTAATATAAAATACATATTACATATACTAGCCATATTTAGTGCGATTTCCCGTCTAGAACCATTGTGACGGTCACTGCTCTATCAGCTGAGCTACAGACGTTGTATCAGATATTACAGTGTATCTAACTGTTTTATAAAAGTTAGAAAAGTCTTGTAATCCGTATGCTAGAACAATCTTTTGCAGAGAACTATCAGTGGGTATGACAATTTCATACAATGCCCTACATATAATACATTTTAGTTTTGTTTTTGTTTTTGCTCATATATTTGAATAATAATTTTATTTTAAAACTTTTTAAACTATTGCAAAATATTATCAAATTGACAATCAATTTTCAACAATATGTAGGGCACGAACACGTTGAAACGTCGGAACAAAAGACTTGATTGTGCTATGGTAAAGGCTTAGTAATACCAATTTCAACTTGCAAAGTCTTTTGGTGTCTTTGACCAATCTCTTGAGTGTATTAATGCTGACACTCTAAATCTTCATAATAGTGATTTCATACTTCCACTCGAATTGATTTCAATTCATAGTATAGTTCTTCAAGCAAAATACCATACAGGTTTGACGATTTTAATTGTTCATTTTTACTATATTACAGATTATAGTATATTTTATATGTACATTAATTTAAAGTCACATAATAAATTATTTAGGTGCGAATTAAATTAATCATTTATTAGTTAGAAGGGTTAGAACAGTAATGAAGAAACAACAACAAAAATGGTAATTAATTTATTGATATTTGGCTGACCATACAAAGATATTACAAGTACTGTCAAGTACTCACCATCAGTGATCTCAGAAAATATTCGAATTTTTATTTAATTAGTTTATAGTCGGTATACACTTTATTGGACTGAAAGTGCCAGGGTTAGAAATCATGCCTGTTATATTAGAAACATGATTCTTTTAACTATATTCATCATTGATATAATTGCAACCCAAACAGAAAATCAATTTTTTGACACAAATACGAGTACTAATGAAAGAAATATTTTATCGGCAATTAAAAAAAAAATTAATTTAAACTTAACACAAACACAAAAATTGTTGCCTCTCTAATCTGTGTTCTTATTAATTTTTCTACTAAATTATCCTGTTGACCGTTTGTGCTACTTAAACGTTTACGTACTATATAATATTCATAATAAATTGTATTAGTTTTGATTTCTACTTTTTAACGTCAATGTGAAGCATTAAAGCATTTCAGTTAATTTAATTTATGCAGCTTTAATAGTTTTAATTAAAATTAAAAAAAAATTATTTATAAAATAATTAAAATAATTTTTATGTAAAAATGTTGTAATTGTGAAACAACTAGGAATAATTTTATATATAATTTAAATATAATAAAAATGTTATATATATTATAAAAAAAAAATATATATATATATATATACTATATATTAATGATGTGGTAATGATACGTGATAAATGTTGAATATTTTTTTTGGAAGTCGGATATTAGCATGATTGGCCCACTACTGGTAAACTAACTTTTATGTGTTTCCAACATGAAAGTCATATTCATTAATTCATTAAAATTAACAATTAAAAATATTTTTAAATTGCCATATTCATCATTCCCAATTTAAAATTCATTAACATTTGTAAATTTAAATTCAAACAACCTCTCATATATACAAAAATTTGAAAACGTTAAAGCACGCTGGTCCTGTAAATACATATGTACGTGTATAAAATATATATATATATATGCCTGGATATGTATCATTAGCGGAACCAAGAATGCTCTTTCCACAACATCCCTACTATTTAGTTTCACATATTATTTTGCATTTTAAGATTTTGGAACGAATTAGTTAATAATTAAAAAAATTTCATTATTATTTTTATTTATTATTTGCTAAAAATTAATTTAAAAAATTTAATTTGAAAAGTTTTTTTTTCTCACTCATTTATCGTCTATGTAATATCATTTTAATTTAAGGCTTTTCTTTTTGTGAACATCGCCAACGTATGAGACGTAGTAGTTGATTGGACTAAAGTGCCCTAGTTCTATACACTATAGTATGGTTGGTGCTATGGAAGTAGGTTTTTTCATTTAATCAAGCCTCCACACCTGCTGAATAAATATTATCGTTTGTGTGCCCATATTTCTTCTTGAATATATAGTAGATATTAAAGGATATTTATGCCACCATTTATTCCGCTACCATAACCTTATTTGTGGGAATTGGATCTTTGCGATTGAAATGACGTGGATGGCTTTGCTGGAATACTACTTAAAAGACTACATGGAAAATTACTTCCTTATTTCTGAGATTTGAATTTCCGCTATGAAATTGAAGTTTACACCTTTGCAGAGAGGTACTTAAAACGCTTCCTAATTAGTAAGATTTGCACCTCCATGATAATGTTGAGGTTTTGCAGTGAGGCTTTTAAAAAGAATTTAAAAAGACTTTTAAAAAGAATGACTTCGTTTTTTTTTTCATGTGAGTGGCTATTTAAAATGCTTTATGGAAAATGACTTCCTTATTTTTGAGAATTGGGTCTCCACTTAAAAGGAATCAGGACAAATAACATCCTTCTACTCTTTCCCTCATAATGTGATAATCATATGTGAATTTATTTCAAACAAATGAAAACATGTATATATTGGTCATAGGTCATTTTAACATAAACTAAGAAAAAACATAAAATTTAGAATAGTCCCCAGGCTTTCTTAATCTTAATTGATCTTACAGTATTTCCAAACAATCAAATCCAATCAAATACTAACTATATGAGAATATCAATAAAAGAGTTTCTAGCTAAGAGACGAGTATCACATTCTCTTCTTTTTATTATGGTAGAGCAAGTTAGATGATGTAATTAGATAGAAGATGTAATTAATACTTTTAAACAGCAATTCGAATAGATTTAAGCACATTTTCATAGTAATAACACCCTATAAAGTCTGGTCTAAATTATCCAAAATATAAGTTTCATTTGAGAAGTTTAAATTAAATAAAAATTGGTTAGTTTAAATAAAGAATTAAAAACAGAATTTATAAATCAGTCAAATAATGTTAAGTATAATTACCCATAGCATAATTTTACCCAAAATTACTGAAAGTGAAAAAACTGAATCACATCTTTCTACCTTTATCCTTAATAAAAATTGAAACTGTATTAAAGGAGGGGATATGCATGGTTTTCCCTCTATTTTTAATCACAGATGAAAATTCGAGATTGTACAAAATCTATTATCTGCTCTCAGATAAAAACCTCAAAAAACAAATGCGGGCTCTACTTAATCTACAAAGCTTAGATAATCAAAACTGAAAAAAATGAAATTGCAATTTACTTCCTAACTAATTAATCAATTCTTCATGTCCAGTGAACCCATTTTGACTCTTCCACTTAATTGCTCTTACATTAGTTAAGACTTGGTTATAAGGTTAATTAAAATCTGACTGTGTGGTATAAAGATATTTTTTAATGTTGTATTCAATTCTTTAACAATCAAGTTTGAGATTATGCATTATAATATGTATGTATCCCACATGTTTCTTATTGAGCAGTTTTTCCAACACTTTTAAGCATCAGATCTCATTTAATTTTATTTATTTTTTAATATTCATATTATTTTGTTTAAATATCCTGGTGAACTCATTCAGTCGGTCATGGATTAATTGAGTTGTTCATATTTTTTATGAGACTTGCGAAATAAAGTTCTGTCACTGACTTGCAGCAAGACGAATAAAATGAACCGTATGATCTTACCATCTCAAGTCTAGACTCCAATGGTCATCGATTACTAGACAAACAAATTTTTTATAACAGTTAGACTAGAAATTGTTAGATTACCGACTTACACCAAAAATAATAAGTTGTACTGTGAATACGCAATTACTTATTGAAACGTTGATTTTACTTAATATGTTTAGGTTATTATATCATAATAGATCCCGTTGCTTTCTAATTTTGTAAGATATTATAAATTACTCACAATTTTTTAAATAAAATATTCATCTTTAAATTTTTTTATTATTTTCCCTATATGTGTATTAAATAATTTGCATATATTTATTTTTTATTATAATATTTTTTTTATGTATCTACATTTTTGTTTTCATTTTAATTTTAAATTTTCAGTTATCAAAACATTATTGGCACATGAAAAAAGCACAAAATTTGCATGATGGCAATACATATTAAGTTCACTTGCAACACTGTTTCCTGTTTGATGTTCAAAATTGGCGTTTTAAACTTTAAATTGAGTTAGTTATTGTTCAATAATTGGCAAATTTAATTGAGAAAATTAAACTTAATGTTTATACTATAGATGTGCTTTCTCTTATAATGCACTATTTCATAATTTTCAAAGCACATGCATTTCGCTAACTAAATGAAGCCAGAAACCATTTATTGTATATAGAAAATATCCTATAGATATCATACAAAAACCAATCACGCACCTAGCACGCTAACCTAATCGTTTTTCCATAATTTGAAAATTGGAACAAAAGAAAATATTTGTTTTTCCCACTCTTCTATCATTGCAGCCCCATCAATTGGTGGGCTCAGCGGGCTCAGTAATTCACGACCAGTCGCCACTGCCACTTCCAGGCACACCCTCCCCAGGCAGTAGTTCAGCATCAACGGGTTCAGGTTCGGGATCAGGTAAAAGTAAATAAAGCGTTTCCAATTCGTCTCAAAATGTTTTACATTAAAAATTATTATTACAAAATGTTGCATATTGGGTGTTAATCATATTTTGCTTTTAGGCACTGACACAATAAAACGGGGCGCTTCACCATCTTCAGTTAAACAAGTCAGAATACAAGAATCCGTTAGTACATATTCTATAAATCACAAGAAATCAGTTAAAGATTCACCAACCGATGAAGCAACCACAGCAGCAACTGACGCAACAACTACAACGACACGCAAAAGCGTCGATTTTTATGAATCGCACAAACCTCAGACGAAGACGGAAGATAGTAGCATTTCAACCAAATATGGTGAAACATCAAAAGCACGCAATGGTAGCACTTACAGTAGCTTGGGTGCAACAGCTGGTAAGTCGGCAATTTCAACACTTTCCACCGAAGACTATAAAGCAATGCGTAACAAATCGAGCACAACCTCATCTTCATCATCATCACAAGCAACAGTGTTGAGTGCTGGTTCAACTGCAACATCAGCAGCTACCACATCATCTGATGACTCCGATGACTTGGTGTCATATAAATCATCTGCTTCTACCAATGCGTTACTCGCCCAATCACAAGCGATGACCACATCGCAACTGATGTCAAAATATTTAAAACGAGAGCCACGTGTTCAATTTACACCAATCAAATCACCCGATTCACCTTCACCACCTGATAGTGACAACATACCTAAGGGTACTTATCACTTGACAGGCAGTAGCAGCAAGACAAGTAGTTCAACAGGTGCAATTAGTAAATACACAACTACTCCATCAAATATTTCGGCATCCTTATCACCATCGAGTGCATTATCCTCCACTTCGGCTTATGGAACATCGGAAACAAACTTAACGAATACAAGTAGCAGCCACAAGGTATCTTCACCGTCTAGACAAATAAGCAGTAGTATTAGTAGTGGAATAGGTAAAGATTCGGTACCACCACGACCACCACCAATATCAACAACAGCATCATCAACTTCAATTGTATCGACCGGGAGACGACTTTTCGATAGTTTAGCAACAGCAACAGCAAACGAAAAGGACACAAAATCAGGCACAGCCAGCACAACGTCAACCACAAATTATACTAATGATACTAAAAATTTAGTTGGTAGTTATATTAGCAATAAGCAGCAAAGTTCAGAATACAAAAGTTTAGGTAGTACATTATTTGGTGGGGGTAACGGTAGCAGTACTAGTCCTTTTGTTACCAATGGTAGTTCGAATGGGGCTCACAATGCAATGCATCTATATGGTACATTACCGAAGAATGGTACAAGCGGTGGTAATGGTTCCTCGGGAAGTGGCCTATTTAGTTCAACCGGTTCTAGTGCATTTTACTCAGCCACATCATCGGGAGCAGCCACAGCCAGCAGTAGTGGTGTTAGTTCTATGACTGGTTCAACTAATAGTTATGATTTCTATACAAGCTCAACGTATGCTTCATCATCCGTTACTGCAAGCACGACAAGACCATTTGCAAATGGCAGTAGTAGTTATGGCAGCAATGGTGCAGGTAATTATCATACTTTAGGTACGTATAGAGTGCAATATGCAGCTACAAATCCATTTTTGGATGCATTCGATGCACCAGCAAGCGGTAATGGAAATGGTAATAATGGCAGCAATAATCACGGTTCTGGTGAGCAATCACAACAAAGCCATAGTAGTCATCGTACATCACTGTTAACTGCTTTTCATTCTAGCGACTCGAAAAACGGCAGTGATGAGTACGATGACTTAAAGTAAATTATGAATATAGCAAATTTTATTACTCCTCAGATTTATTAGAGATTTTCATGTTTTTGTTTTTATGAAATAAATTAAATGTTTAAAGAGTTTGACATTTTTGTTAATATTAGAAAAATTGGAAACAAACATTAGAAAAATAATATATAAAAATATTAATATTTATTTTTGATTTTGATAATTAATAAACTATTAGATATTCACTAACAAAGTGAGTTGCGTCTTCACATAAAATAGACGCCTACTGGTGGTTGCCACAAGACATTTAGTGGGAGGCTTATAAATAAAGTTAAAAAAGACTTATAGCCAATTAAAGCCTATAATATGATTATTGTTTGAAGTCCCAGATATGAAATCCATATAAGAAATAAATAAATTTTACTTCTATCTTCAATATATTTTAATAACAAGCTCTTTAGACATTTAGTTTTAAAATTTTTTTTCAAACAAAAATATATTGTCTTATTTCATAAAAAGATTTTAGTTACTCAATATACAGATTTTTAATCAATAACATTTTTGCTTCCAATATATGAAAATAATAAAAATAACCTAAATTTAATAAAACTATCGAAAGTTATAACAAATACTACAACTTAATGCCCAACAAATTGAAAACAATAATTTTTTATTTATATTATACAGAAATCGTAAACTTTTTTAAAAGAATTTACAAACTTACCAAACAAAAAAAAATAAAAAATAAATAATAAATAGAATATTTAAAATTATAATAAATGTAATATTAAAAACCGATTGCAGTTGAATGTTTGTGCTAAATAAACTATAAATAATTTTATTTTATAAGTGCTATATAAATTGACATAATTGGTACCATTAGCTTTTGATATATACAGAAACTGAATAAAATATATAAATATATATAGTAAGCAGAAAGAATTAAAAAGAAGCAGAAATTCAAGGCATATAGACGAACAGATGATACTATAGACGAACTTCATGATTCAGTTTAATATAGTTAATTGGGTGTTATCAACACTATTTACACCTTGCAACAGCAAATTTAAAAATCATACAAACTATTATATATATATGAAGATAAATTATACTCATTTTTTATAAAAAGAAGAAGATTTCAAAGCAAGGATATAGGTGAACAGACGATACTATAGACAAACTTCATGAAGCAGTTTAATATTGTTAATTGGTTCAATTAAATATGAAATTTATAATTATATAGCTTATTGTTATATTTAATATTATAAACAAGAAGAAAAAAATTATCTAAAGATAGTAAAAGGTTTATAAAAATATTTATAGTTTATTTTGCACAAATTTAAAAGCCTGTCGGCAATTTTTTAATAAAACTAAACGAAAAGCTTTTGCGGTTAATTCAATTAAATATTTTTTGTTCAAATTTTTTTTTTATTACAATAAATATAAATTTATAAAAATATATCGCAAAATTTAACAAGTTGAATGAATATTTGTTATAATAATAAATTAAAATGAAGTATACACCAATACCAAACTTAAACGAATTTTGAAAAAGCTTTTTTTTCTTATTACAAAATAAAAAAAATATGTTAAAAATAAAAAAATACAAAAAATTAAAGTAATAAATGGCAATCTACATTAAACAAACTACAGACTAAAATATTATAATATAATATATATATAAATCTATATACGAAATTAGTACTTAACTAAAATATTGTAAAGCAAGGAACTCGAATTTTAAACAATTTATACATTGAACAATTTTCAGAACAACATAGCAGCCTTTTACTCTCACTATTCTTGCACTTAATTTAATATTTATACCAACATTTTTATAGTTTAAACCTCAAAATATTTTTTGTAAAAAATTTTCTAAGCTTTTTCTAAAATAGTTTTTACGTGTATTATAAATTCTATTATTAACATAATTATCATCCTCTATAATCAAAACAAATCATAAATACTATATTTGCATGCACAGTGTTGTATAACTGCTCGTTCGCAATAATCACAGAATAAGTGTTGGAAACTAATATATAAAATAAAATAAAATTAATAAAATAAAATATAAAAAATCAAATGAAAGTAAGGGATATATATAAGAAAAACTACAAATTTCATTTAAGCAAACAGTATAAAATTTTAATTTAAAGTAAATGAAACAAATTTTCATTTTATACTTCAAAACTTGAAAACAACTACTTTATCTTATTTACTTTATTTTATTTATTTATTTTTATTTAACTATTGTAATAAAGAGCCTTGAAAAGTGATGAAAGCTTACTTTGGAACTTACAACTCGAGAAAAATATATATAAACATCACCATTGACGTTCAGCTTTGCTTTGCATTTGCTGGCTACCCAACATCAGCCAAACTGCTGTAGCCTGCAGTTCAGGTTTTGAAAAGTATATATCCTTATCATATGTCTATAGTATGTTTATATTGTATAGACTTTGGTCGGCTTTTGGCTTCTTGACATTAATTTTTTTTTCACCGGAAAAACGTCACCGAAAAACAGCTCTCTACGCAATGTTAGCCAGGCTGATTTATACACTGCAGTTAAGAAAAAGAAAGAGAAACGATCATTATCATTTATCTCTATCATCAACAGTGTGTTTGACTTTTCACACTCCAGTTTAGATTTAGAAAAATGTATATAATAACCATTACTTAGCTATTTGACTGGTAGTGAGCTATGGCCCACACTTTTAAGTTAGACTACTTTGCTTCAAGTCAATTATACAGGATCCTGTACTCCTGTCAGATGCCTATTTGTAGTGCATTTCTATGGTTTAAGGACGTTACAGCTGTGGTGAGTTTTGAAGTAGTT